ATTTTTATAAATACTTTTAAATGGATTTCAAGCATACTCGTTGAGAACATTTATTAACGATGACGAATTATACATTTAGATTTTTGTAACCCGACGACATCCAAGCAGCGAGACGGTAAAATGGCATCGGATGACAGCAGCGAAACTAACGTGCCTCGTCAACATATGTCAACTCGACGGACAGCGATGAAACGGCAGGTTTTAGTTTTGGATCAAACAATATTGTTCCGGTAAACATCTTGCTACGTAAATACGTTGATTTTCTTGAAAGTATATATAAATTTAAAACATTGTGTTTGGCGCACCGCCGTGTATCATAGTGTAAATAGTAGCTAATTATAAGATCGATTTCGTGTTGTCGCTTCACATTGTTAATTGTACGGTTCTTGTATTGATTAGTTATACCGGGTTAAATTATCGCGCCTATTAGCGAAACGTCGGTGGATCGCGATTAGTACACTTGTCGATATTCGCGCGACTCACCCGACTCGTGCTGCCCGCCCGCGGGTGGCATCCCCCATTATGAGAGGAATTCGGTACTCGCTCGCGCCGTACTTCGCAGGTGCGCGAGCCGGAGTACGGAAGAGAGGGACTCCTCGTCAAACCGTCGGAGAGGACACACCTCTCCGCAGAACTTTTCGTCAAGCCGCCGTGCGGCACACACACATATTCGCAAGACAGCCGTCTTACGGCAAACACATTTTTGGCCAGCCGTCTTACGGCAGGGACTCATCAGTCGAACGTCGTGAAGCTCACACGTTACCGTTTTCGCGTGCGCGAACTCGGAGTGCTCGGTCGCCCATCGCAGACCACGAAGACCTAATCGCTTGCTATCCTGCCTATCTGTGCCTGCTTGCTATACCTGCCTGCCCGCTTGCTATGCCGGACTGTTGCATGCTTTCGCCTTGCACGCCAGAGATCTCGCCAACGGGAGGACGACGTCAACACCCAGGAGGCGCCGGGCAACGACACGGTGAGTCGCCACGCATCTCTTTTGATATTCGCTTGCTTGCTTCGCTTTATTCGCTTTCGCGAGGGCACGGGCCCTCTGGTCCTTCGAGAAATTTTGTTGACCAATCGCAAATCCGGGGAGCGCCTCACACCCCCCCGTGCACATTGATACAGTTATAGTTTGAAAAAAAGATTCGTTTATGCACAGTGCATGTTAGAGTGTTACAGTAGCGATAGAATTTTCAACGCTCGCATGTGCGGATGACAAAATGCGTGATTGGCTCGGTGAAGAAGGTCGCAATCTCCGATTGTCGCTTCTCGGTAATCGTCCCGTCGAAAATCCAGTCGCGCCTGCGTTGAGATATGTGCGTTATATAATTGGCCTTTATACATATAGAGATGATACGTCACGGTTAACGATGCCACAGCGGGGCCTTAATCTTTCGAAGAAAATCAATTTTACGTAGACTTTGGCTTTTTTTTTTTCAGTTTCGTTTACATTGTAATTGCCTCGCCGGGAGGCGTCCCTCGATAAATTGTAAAAAAATACGAGCGCGTGGTATAATACGGTACGTTACTGGAAATTGCTGTAATCAAGTTGTCTTTGAAATGTTGTTGGCGTCATTTATATATTATTACAATTACGATACACGTGCAACATTTCCATGGGATTTCTAAATTTACGCAAACATTAATTCTGCACGTGTTCTCGGCAGGAGGAAAAGTGTTGGTTTCCAGCATGACGTCGAAAGTCCCGATGACAGTTTCGGCAATCGCGACGAGAATCGTAGCATGCCCGCCGTGTCGTCACACATCTTGCTCTTTCCTCCGTCACTGTCGTCACGTATTATACATGTCAACGCACGCAACGATGGCAAATGTATTGCAGCAGGTATGTCAGACATGTTCGTACACACAAGCACAGTTGTATACTGGGCAAGATTTAAAAATATTAATTGATGAAGGCAAAAATTAGTAGAAAATAAACCGAGTATTGGAAAAGATTTGTCGATATATTTTCGACGCTGCGAACATGCACCAATGCAAAATTTTGATTTTTAGATAACGTGGACTTTGTTCGTTGCTTCCACATATACGTACGAGGTCAACGAGGCAAGTTTCAACGTGGGAACACGGAGTTTTTTGAGAATCGGCACGGACGTGAGCGTTGCAAGATGCGCTCGGTGTTGCCGCCTAATTAATATCAAGACAAAAGTGCTGTCTTGATTGCTATCCGAGAAAGAGGAGCGTTTCGTTGTTTAAAAAAAAAATAATCTTTTTCTTTTTTCCGTTGCGCGAGCCGTAAATAATGCGAAAAAGAAAATATACGTTAGACAAATATGTGTATTTACATATATGTGTGTGTGTGTGTGTGTGCGTGCGTGTGTGTGCGTATATTCATTTCCTTGTCGAAAAAAAAATTGTATAGATGTATATATATTTCGTATACGTGTAGAAATCGTCGTGTGTGAAAATGGCCAATCTCGTGTGAGTCGATACGTTTATTTTCCCGTTGCAACGCGTTTATCGTAAATAAACGACGCGATTCAGAAGTACGTCGAGTTGACGATGAAACTTTTGTGTTTTGCGCAACGCAACGTGTCTATCGGACAAATGTGATTTTCATGTTTCTCATTTAAGTTTTGTAAATTTCGCCTCTACATTTTTTCCCATGCATTTGTAACATTTGGCAATGATTCGAAATGCGTACACACGTCGTCTACTATTTTTTTTTGCCACGGATACGTACAAAATTAATTGTGTTTCTATCGTGAAAGACATCTGGCGCATTCCTCTCTTATCATGGCCAATCACACACTGTGAGTTTCCTCGTACGATTCATCTTTGTATTGATTCGCGTAATGGAATTTCGCGTCGTTTTCTTGTTAAATTTTTCCTTGTGCGTGACATACGACGCACGTGTGTGTGTGTGCAACGAGTGTTACGACTCATTTATACGTAAACTCGAGAGTAACACTCGCTGCACACGCGTATATATATATGCGCCATTATTAGAATGTCGGAAAAAAAATTGACGGAAACAAATTTTTTTTTCTTTAAAAAGCTCGACTCGATTGAACGAGTTGTATCATTGTAAAGAAATGTGAGAGACTATAGGTATACTTGTGTGTGTACATAGTGTACGTAGCGTTTGTTACATTTATTCCATTTTGCGTACAACACTTGTCGTACGGAGAAAATGAAGTAACGAAACGTGTACAATTTTTTCCTTTTCTTTTCTTTTCATTTTATTCATTAATAAAAGTAAAAAAGGAAAACCTATATACATATATGTATATACCGTCCAATTTTTTTTTATCCGTTTTTGGCAGCGCGTTCCGCAATATTTATATGCGCCGGTCACTGAAAATGTATAGTATGCGTTACGTAAATTGTAGATTATCACGCTTGCAGTTGTAGATGTAGGAACGCAGTCTTGACGTCGACAAGTTTGCACCCGCGCGTGTTTCAATGATTATAATTATTGCTCGCGTGCCGCGGTGCGCTGAGATTGAGTAGCGAAGTTATTGTCATTGATGTAATACGGCAGCCGGATATTATATCTGGCGAATTTAATTTTTGACACGCTCTTCTCAAAAATTGATTGCCGACTAATAGGTAGATGCTACAACGTGTGACTTTGTTGTTGAACCGTAATCATTGATGCATCTATAAATTGAACGAAAACTTTCCACAATTTGGTGTGCTCTACGAAATTATGAAAATATATAGACAATGTATGTGTGTTTAAAATGTAAGCAAAAGAAGAAAAAGAGATTATATATTTGTAATATAACGAGATTATATTTATATCACCCATGTCGGATCGAGTCACGTTAGATGGCGTTACGAGCGTCGTCCGGTGTGTTTTCGCGCGCTCTGCGCGCGCCACGTCGTACCACGTAAAGAATGAAAAAGGGTGTTGCGCGTGCGCGAGAAGGAAGCGTGCTAGCCTGCGGCGACGACGAGCGAGCATTCGTTTCCGGGCGTTGCTCGAGTTGACAACGTGCACGTGCTTGAGACGTGCCGATATTGGAATATTCGACGAGAACGAATCGTAGCTTTGACAAAGACCCATTGTCGTATAGAGAGATTGATTTGAAGAAGAAGTATACGTCACGAGACTGTACCGACTCGGCAATCGACCACGCTCGGATCGCTGCGTGCAACCGCACGGAGGACGATCCGCCATTACCGTATCGCCGTATCTCACAAAGGACGAATCGCTGTTGAACGACTTGGATGTTTGATGACCCATCAGACAGAGGAAAAGGTATTTTTACAATAAAAATCTATTCAGTAGGCAAAGATTTTCTCAACAACGAGGCAACTTTTAAATTACCGGCAACCATATATCGTTGAATTTCGAGATACACTCGTACGATCGAGTACTATAGCGGTTTAATATTCCCGTCTCCTCCGTGCAATTTTGGTCTCAAATTTCTCGATATACCGTGCGGGAGGCTAACGTTTTCAGAAAACGATGCCGATTGTCAATCGACAAGCTTGGCGTCACGTCTAACGATTAAAAAAAAAAATTCGATTCTGAGTTCGGTAAAATTCTACGATTACTTGACGATTGCAATCGATACATGTATAATTATTTTTTTTTTGTTTCTCAAAACTACACTTACGTCGAGTCTATAAAGATTCAACGTCATTTCAATCGAGAAACGCCTTCCATTTATGTACATTTACTTGTTTCGAGTTTGCGAGCTACTTTTAAAGATATTGGTGATTGGAACGAAAATGATGATACGTTACGAAAATTAATACAACGTATCAACAATCATCTGTTTTGTACAAATGGGGTACGTCGACAAATTTGTTACGACGTAAGCTATAGTCTTGAAAACAATAATTAAAGTTACACACATACGGTCTTGAAAAAGAATATTTCCTTTTTTTGAGAATTTAACAATCAAAAGTTGTTGGAATTTGTAAAACCTATTGGTTTATGACAAAAGGACCATTCATCTGAGAAATAATGTGTATTATCGTACTTGCCATTTATGTTATGTATATTAATTCAAACAAATTTACCGACTTTTTACTTTTAAATAATCAACTTGATTTGTTACTATGTAATCTGTCCCTCCAATAATAAAGGTATATGTATCGTTTCATCTGCTCTATAAATCTCAAGTCTAAATGTTTACGCGAACTTGTACAAAACAATTGCAATGCTGCAAATGACGCGTGCCATAAGCAACTTTACATAAAATTAGCAACACATTAAACATGTATTTCGTACCAATGTCGATAAACTTTTTAGTCTCGATTTAATTTTATTTATATTTTTTAATTTTTTCACATTTCCAAATTGAAAGACGAAAACAAAAGACTAAAACACAGAAGCAGATGTGTAAAGTTGAACTTGGTCGATTGACGTTAAATCTACATTGATATTAATTTTATCAAATTATTTATTTTTACCAAAATGCAAATTAACTTTTAATTTCTTTTTAAATTTTGTTTTTTATCTCTTTTAAGTCATAAAAATTGAAAATGGATGAGAAAACAAGCTGAACCAATATTATAATTTATTTAGGTAAAAATAAATTTAATAATAGACTCAAATTGAAATATTCGTCAATTAATTCAATTTGGTGACGTACATGACCACAATCAACCAATCTGTCGGTGCTTGATGATAAACGTATCCGTGTAATTTTATGCCTGGAAAAAGGTTAGATATTGGTATACAAGGTATTGAAACCACTTGTTGACATTGATGCATTTATTTGCTGAAACGTTTTTACAAACTGTCTGATGCCACTTTAATTTGTGGAGAGGGTAATACTCTGTCATTCAAAGACGCATTAGACTCTTGTATACGTGCAATCTTTTTCAGTTTTTTTAATATTCAACACAGAATTTTTTGTGTGCGCGAACGATAACAGTTGAACGCAATCATTTCGAGACGTGAGTTTCAATCGGTTTTTCACATATATACGTGAAAAGTCGTGATTGTCAACTTTTTGATGTCTAAGTTTGATGAAATGTTTAGCGACACAGACGATAATCGCGCGTGTGACATTGTCGCCTGCGTCAAGTACGACAGTATCACATCTTTCATCGGGTACATGTCTACAAACGAGAGAGATGGTAATGATGATGGTGGTGGTGTTTAAAAGAAAGAGCGACGATAAAGCAGATGGTAATGCAAGGGTTACGAATAACATATACAACAGAATAGAGATATGATCAGAGTCTAGAGATTAAAAGTTTTCCTAATGTTTTCTCAGTGTCGTTGAATACCATTTAGGTTTTATATACAACTACGTAATATCGTACATAAATATAATTTTCTTGCATTACGTGTAATGTACTTGTCACACGTGACTGTACAAATTCGCATCTTGCAATATTGGCGCTCTCTCGAAATGCTCACACGTATAGAATACCGTACCAAATAGTTAATGACTTGTATATATGCGTACGTGCATGTATGTTTGTGTGTGTGTGTGTGTGTATTTTGCAATGCAGAAAATGTGGAAAACGATCAGAAGTTTTGGCATGTGAAAAAACTTAAACGGTAAAACTTGAACGGTAAGAAATCAACAATATGGCGTCGCTACCGCTTACAGCAGTCTCAAAAGTTGTTGACGGTGTGGCTGCGTTGCTTATCGCTCAAGTTTTTCCATAT